GGTGTGAAAAAGGTCGGGGATGCTCAGCGTCGTTTCGCTTAGAAGGTGTAAATCCAGGATTTTAGTATACCCATACCAAGGGTGCTCAGGACGAAACGCCTCTATATTTAGCCTTCAAAGTAGCTTTTAGGGTTACACTGACTCAAAGAAATAGTTATAATAAAGCGCTCTCTGTCCGGTTTCAATGTGGTATCCTTTAAGCGTCAAAACAAAGCTTACGTCACGCCCAAACTGGTCTCTTTTAGGCTCGGGGGGAGGGGGTACTCCCTTATATGGGCTATATAGGTACGTGCGGCCCCAAAGGGTATGGTTTTTCAGCCGAAATATCATATGGTCGATTTACAACGCTAAATATTCCGAAATGTGAACAAGTTACACGTAATATAAGATTAGTAAAACTTATTCACTCCTTGTGTGTCCATTAAGGTTTTCGGTGATCTTTACCTTTTTTGGCCTTTCTTTGAAAGGAATTACAGTGATAAGCAGTGATGACCAACTTCTTCTTGGAGTGGCGACATTTCCAGGGGGCTTTACTCTCGGAGGGAAGGGGGGTGGGGGTAGGAGGAAGGTGGAGGCTCTCTTACGGGAGGCTTGAAACAAGATCGAACTATCACCATGCATTTATTTCTGCGCAAAAGTTAGTTTCACTTAAAAATGTGCCGTGAACAGCCATTTCCCTAAATTTAAACTAGAAATGAGCAGTTTTTAAAGAAATGTACGCACCCTTGTAGTTAGTAGTTCCAAAAGAGAGAAAGATGGTTGCAAAGTGCAACATCTGGTGTATATTAAGAAAATGATGGTGAAATAATCAGAGTTCCTGAAATACCGACAATTTTGTTAGCTTAGGTTAAATATAAATTCAATTCGTTATCGACGTATTCGTCGGCGTCGCGATCGTGATTGCTTCCAATAGAGACACTCTTCGGAATCCTACAGTGAATAGATAAATATGGCTTGTTCTATCGCGAGGCAGTATCAGTACCAAGACAGACTTCACCTTTGTAACCCTGATGAGTGACTTACCTGTTCACCATTCGGCGCTAAATCTGTTCCTGATTAAAAGTGTTTAAAAGTGTACTGATTCAGCCATTTATCATACCCATTTATGATGAATGGCAGAGTCTAAACTAGAAAACAGAATTTTAAAGAAATAGTTCCAAACAACAGAAAAGTGATTGCACAGTACACCATTTGGTTGCTTTGACTGACCAATGTCACCAATCCAATTTGTTATTCATATTT